CCTCACCCGAGCAGATTTTTTCATTGATTTTAGAGAGAGTGGAAGGGAGGGGAGAGACAATGAGAGAGAAACATTGATGTGAGATAGACACATCAATTGTTTGCCTCCTGCACGTCCCCCCTCCCCCCACAACTAGGGGTGGGGATCGAGCCTGCAGCAGGGATATGTGCCCTTGACTGGAATCAAACCCAGGACCCTTCAGTCCGAGGGCCGATGCTTTATCCACTAAGCCAAACCAGCTAGGGCAGTTTTTATACTTTTAAAGGATTTAAAATAGAAGAATAAGATGCATGGAGACTGTATATGGCCTGCAAAGCCTAAAATAGTTACTATCTGGCCCTTTGCTGAAAATATTTGCTCACTCCTGATTTAATTCATTTTATCCTCACAACATTTTGATAAGGTGGGTCCTGTTATTATCATCCTCATTTTACAGATGAGAAAACTGAGGCAGAGAGGGCTTAAATACCTTTTTTTTTTTTTGCCGGTAGTATTCACTGTTATTAGAGCAGATTGCAGGCTCTTTCTACAAACTTGGTAATATTGTGTTTCTTTGCAGTGTAAAAAGTGGATAGTGGCTCACAGGTCAAAGGATGGAACGGTCACGCTCTAGATCCCCCAGGTGGAAACAGAGGTGAGCAGTTTTAGTTTTGCAGGGCAAGCTTGGATTTGAGATGTACTTTGACTTTCAGATTCACCAGTATGATTAAGAACCTATGTTAAGTTCTTGGGACCTGGTTATTCACAGTAGGTGCTTTACAGTGACAGAGATTGTACTTCTCAGAGCTGATAGCTTTCTTTAATTATGGTTGGCAGCTAGAATTCATCCATAATAAAAAGAAATGCAATGACCACAGTAAGGGAGAGTGAGAAACATCTTTGAGAGTGGTTTAGAACTTTACAGTTGTGTATTTTATTTTATTTTTTTCATAATCAGTATGTTTGAAGACATTGGGAGTTAGAAAATTGGGAGTTGCCTCTTTCTTCTTCATGGCAGAATAATAGAATTTTGAATAATTCAATAGTAGTTCACTTTCCTCTTCCCTGGTAGGTACTGTCAAACATATATATAATTAGATTGCAACAGTTCAACTAGTATTTAGTGTATTCCTGCTACAGGCAATTTTTGGGGCTACAAAGGCAAATACAACACCTCACAGCCCCTCAGCAAGCACACAGCAAGCACATGGGCTGGTTGGGAAGATTGACGCCTTAGCCAGCTATGAGACTGCAGGAAAAGTGTGGTGCTACTGACTGAGACAGTATTCTGGATCCACAGGGAAGGGATAATTCTGCTTTGGTGGAAGGTAAAGGGGGATACTAAGAAAGTCTTCAAAGAAGAGATGAGATTTTAGTCACTTAAGGATGAGTAGAATCTCTAAAGGCAGAAAGAGAGAAGAAAAGTATTCCAGTTAAGGGTGACAACAGGAGCAAAGGCACAGAGCTATGAAAGTGACTGGTACATTCTAGGACTCATAAAAAAGGCCATGATTATATACACAAAAGGCAGACCAAGGTTTTTCATAGTAATGCGACTTGGCCATTGTGCTTGCCTCATTGTGGTTCTACAGTGACTAATCAATCATTTCTTCAACAATTTTAATTTCATCTTCACAAGACTAAATTGTAGTGGGGAGGACCTTCAAAAATGGGGGATGTAAAGCGAATGATTTTAACTTGGAGGGCATCACACAGGTCATTTTGTGTCGCCCTTTTGTGGTAGGCACTGGTGAGGGGCCGCAAAAGAGCCTGGCAAACTAAGTGCCCGATTTCTGGATTCCTTCTCAGGATTCTGAAAAACCGTAAGAAGTTCAATATTTCCCCCCGCTTGCAAGCTGGCACATCAGCCTGTCACAAGGCCCTCCTGGAGTAGAGGCCAAGGCCTTTACTACTAAGAGTACAGCAGGCAGCCTGAGCTTCATGCTCCTGTGTTCCCCTCACCCCCAGCCCCCTGAGGTTGGGCGCTGTAGCACAAAGCAATGGGGTGACGATATAGCCGAGGAACCTAAGTCCCATGAGGGGCTTTGGCCTGGGAGGAGACATTATCTTATTATCCTGGATAGCAAACAGATCAGCCCTCTGCTCCACAGGGAGGCCCTGGCTCCATCTTCCCAGGCTGTTTGTCTTGGAATGAAAACTGTCAGTGCCTCTGCTCACAAGGTGTGCAGAATGGGAAAGACCCATGGAAAATTGTCTCCCAACAGACTCTTTGGGTCCCTTTTTTTTCCCTTTGGGAGAACTGAAAATGTTAGCAGCTATTCCAGCAGTCTCCTTCGGAAGAAAGGGGCTCTATACAGTACAACCCTAAAGTGAAAAAAAAAAAATCAAAGTGTATTCAATGGGAAGCATGGCTTTAAAGTAAGAGATGGACTGTTTTGTCCCAATTCAAGATCTCAGCCTCTGGCTGCCAGCTTTTCTCCCTAGCGGTGGAGGAAAGGAAGTCTTCCAGGAAGTCCTCAGAGGCTCCAGTTGCTTCTTCCTGTGCTGATGAGTGCAGCCAGCTGGATGACAGAGCTTGTGCTTCAGCTTAACCACACACCTGCCAGTCCATGTAGCTTGGTGATTTTCGAGGGAGATACTGCTGAGTCCAGCATATAAATCCCCGTATGTGTATGAGAAAACTAAATCTGCCTCCTT